AGTCCGGCATCCAAGATTTGCCAAGCTAATTCGGGCCTGGGAAGAACCCGTGATAAACAGTAAGTTATTTGAAGACTGTCTTTTTGTGTTGTCACTGATGAGAAATTACAGATCATTTCATCTACTGTACCTTGTTTTCACTACAGCAGAGGCAAAAGATGGTGTTTTGAAACCAGGAACTAGCACCGTCTTTGAGGACCATAATTCTAATAGTGAAAATGAAGATGCAGTTAGAACCTTTTCCCAACCATCCACTGAAGTTTCAGGCTTTTCTCAGCCTGCCTTCCCAGCACCGGAACCTCTCACGTCTTCAGTAGTCCTTGGTGTTTCAGAGGTAAGCCGTTTTGTTTTTAACTTTTCCTTCCTGTGCTTTTTCACTTACGGTCCCCCTGATTCTCATGGGGATGAAAAGGATCCTACAGAGGAATGGAAGTCCTCAAGATCACAATAGAAAACAGTGTGATAACAAGAGAGGTACACGTGCAGGACTGAGATTTGTAAAGGTTGGTGGCAATAAACAGTTCTCAGATATGCCATTAAGAAAAGAAAGAGTAAGAGAGCAACAGGAAAGAACAGCTGGATGAATATGAAGATGGGCAGGGGTACAAAGGGGAAGCGTTCATCTAATAAGGACAAGATGTATGAGTGTCAAAATGAGAGAGATGATTATACAGACACAGCAGAAATAGTGGGGTTAAGTGAGAGCAGGAACTCTATAGCACACATTATGACAGAAATTATCTCTAATTCAAATTAAGAGAAGGAAAAGTCAGGTCATGGAAGAAAGTGCTCAGACTCTTCTGAAGGACATAGAGCTGATTTTATGAACAACAGAAAGAAAATTTGACCCTAACCTTTTTTCTTTTTGGTTATAGAAGTTTGTTTTTTAATTCAAATGTAGTTGATGTACAGTATTGTATGAGTTACAGGTGTGCAGTAAAGTGATTTGGTTATATATATATATATATATATAATTTTTATACCAATTTTTCTTTCTTTCCCATTATAGTTTTTTTGTGAGATATTGAATACAGTTCCCTATGGAAGCTAGTTTTAACTTGAAGTTATTTATTTTAGATAGCCTCACATTTAAATTAATGAAGTGATGTCTTATATTTAATCTAGCAAATTTTGTCTCTCCATTCCGTCCCCAGTAACTGAGTTCTAGTTTTCCATGTGACTTACCATGCTGTTTCACACCTCGACCTTTGGCTCAGGCTGCCCTTTTTAGAACCCCCTTCACATCTGCTCTTTGCCCACTGGGTCTGTCTTTTAAGACACAGTCTGGTCTTCCCAGCATTCCCGGAGCTATTGACATGCAGCAAGTCTCTTCTCTCCTTTGTGCCCTTACTGTATCTGTTCACTTCAGGTGTAGAGCTGTTGAATGATAACTTGTCTGTGTTGATTCACTTTCATGTGTCTCTACCTCCCCTAGAGAATAGAGCAGAATCTGTCTTTTATGTATATTGCCAGCTTCTCCCAGGAGAATGCCTATGATTTGATGGATACAGTAACTATATGTTGTCTTCCTGACTGATTGATTGAATGACCAAGTGTAGGAATATGATGTTTTCTGATGTTGGGTTTTTGTTACATTGTGTTTTGTTTTTATAGGGAGAGGCAACAAAGCCAAAAACTGGGGGAAAAGAGAACGGCCCTCGGACAATTAACAGTGTTCTAAAGGAGCAAGCAGATCAGAGCAAGTTGAT